TTTTATATCTTTGTATATCTTGCTATCTAGGGACTTGGGATATATTTTTCCTTAAATAGGCTTCAATACCCTTCAATAAAGTTTTATTATAATCACCCCCATAGCCAGTCTTATTGATCCCCATGTTTGCTAGCTTGGAGGCACATACCTCTAACTCCAGCACTTTGAGAGGTGGAGGCAGAAGGGTTACTAATTTGAGCCCAGCCTTCACAATTTAGCAAAATCCTGTCTATGAATGAATGAATGAATGAATGAATGAATGAATGCTCTGTATGGAGCTTAGTGTGAAGGCCCTTAGATCAGTCTCCAGTACTCCCCCTCCCCCACAAAAAAGTCATATTTGTTGCTCTTAAAGATGGTGTATCTTGCTTCTGGTGAAAGTAAATATAAAACAACTCAACTAAGAAAAAGCTTTCATGATAGTAAATAATTACTAAGAATAAAACATAACATAAATACTGTAATGGCCAATATATGGCCAGCACCTCTAACAGTTTGGGGATAGGATATTGCAAAAAGTTCTAGTATGTCGTGGACATGGACAGTGTCCATGATGCTTACTGGTGGCCAGGTATCACCTATGGGACTGAGCTACTGCTAGTTCCTTGATATCCACCCTATAGACCCAGATAGAATCATGCCCCATAGGGTGCAGGAAAAATCCATTTGTAGAGTATGCTGATGGAAATACTTTGCTGCTGTATACAAAAGAATAATTGAAAGACTGCTTTTGTATACCTCTTTTTCTCCTGTGTTTGTTTGCCCTATTTGGTGGGTCTTTTCCATTCTCATTCATGGAGTTGTAGTCATTTTGATCCCTCTCTAGAATATCTTTTAGTAGTCTGTGTAGGGTTGGCTTTTTGTCATGAAATTCTTTAGGTATTCTTTGTCATGGAAGTATTTTACTTCTCCATTATACTTCAAAGAGAGTTTTGCAGGGTATATCAGTCTGAGTTGGAATTTGTTTTCTTGCAAGACTTGTACTATTTTGCTCCATGCTCTTCTTGACTTGATGGTTTGTAAAGAGAAATTTGCCATTATTCTGATTGATGTTCCTTTAAATGTGATCTGTTTCTTTTCTCTAGTGGCTTTCAGTATATTGTTCCTGTGCTGAATTTCTGGGATCTTGATTATTATATATCTGGGTGTGGTTTTAATTGAGTTGATGTTATTTGGAGTTCTATACATTTTAGTTACCTGAATGTCAGATTGCTTCCCCATATTTGGGGAGTTTAAATCTTTAAATATTTATTGTCTGCCCTTTTCTACTTTGAGAATTCTAATTATATGAATATAAGTTTCTTGACTTTGGCACAGAGTGAACTACTATATGACCGATCTGTAAATTCTTCATTTTTATTTTGGACAATTTTTATTGTTACATTCATTTAAGTTTGTAAACAATTTATTTACAATGTGCAATCTATTATTAATATCATGCTATGTATTCATTTCAGAAATATTTCTCTAAAATTTACTCTGTCTATATCTTGTATCTTTCACATTTCAATGTTTGTCTACAATTTTTAGCATGATATAATTATTGATTTTCAATAAAGTTAATGAGAAAAAATAGATACAATTGATTTCTACATATTAACATTATGTCCACCCCTCCCATGCTGACCTCTCAAAATCCTATTACTTCCAGTGCAAATATATATATATATGTATGTATTTTTTTTTCCTGCTAAACAAGACATTAGCAAAGAGTGACTTTATTTTCTCTTTACCAGGCTTTTATTCTACTTTCCTTCTCTTGGTTATGGTATTGAGACCTCCAAAGCAATAATGAGTAGAAGTAGCAATGGTAGAAATCCTTTCCATTATTCCTGACTTTAAAGGAAAATGCTTAGAACATATCTCAAATTTGGGTAAAGTTTCTTTGAAATATTTTTGTATATATTATCAAATACAGAAAAGTCCCTATTACTAAGAGTTTTATTATAAATGAGTGCTGGATTTTATTAAATTTTATGTTTAGTTTCTTTAGCTAAGGATACCAAATTTATTTTCCTTAAATTTTGTTAATGACATCTATAGATTTTTTAATATTAAACTACCCTTTCATTTCTGAGATGAACCTAACTTGTTCCTAATAAATCATCTTTTCCACTGTCAGATTCTGCTGACATTATTTCCTTTAGGATTTTTACACCTATCTTGCGCTATGAGTGAAATAAACCTGTCCTTTCTTTTCTCTTACAGTTCCTTGTCTGGTTTAGATATTAGTGAACCTCACCAGGATGAGCTGGGAATATGCCTTCTATTTTTAATTAAAGACTCTGTTGATTATTAGAAGCCCTATTCTTGAAAGTTGGGGTCTGCTGGATTTTAGTTTTACTTTTTCTTTGTAGGAAAATTTTAATATGTTAATTTTAATTTGTGATGAGCAACTTAGCAGGACTACTTGAGCTTTTCTATTTTCAAATTAATGTCGGTATATGAATGTCTTGATGTTTCTAGAAATTTGTCTATTTCATCCAACATAAAACTTGTTTTTAAATCCTCTTATTTTTTTAATCTCAAAACTTTTTAGCCTTTTAAAAGTAATATAATGTGGTACATTCTTCTGCAGAGAGATTAATTTATAATCTTATCAGACGTTATTTTTTACCTTCAGCTGCCCCAAAAAATTCATAAAACTCCACTGCCTACATCATATACAATATTTCTTTAGAGCACAAAAGAGAAAGAGGCATATATAATACTCTTAGAAACAAGCCTATTATCTTTTTAAAACTGTAAGACATCTAAATTTACTACATCAATAGCCTGTGAAGAGTACTTTTCTATGCTTTCTGTCTGTGCTACTTGTCTACGTTTTTTCAGAAGCAGGCAAGTCATAGTGCCACACCACACTCTAATCATACACACAGGTGGTAAATTTCAATTGGTTCCGGGGTACTAATGACAGCTTTTCATTGATAAGACTCCATTGCTATATCTAATGTCAAGTTTTAAAAAAATAACCAGACAGTGGTGAATGTTTACAACCCCAGCTACTCAGGGAGTAGAGGCAGGAGGATCAAAGTTTGAGGTCAACTTTGGCAACTTAGTGAGACCCTATCTCAAAGGAAAAAAAAAAAAAAAGAAAGAAAGAAACAGAGATGGGGATATAACTTGGTAGAAGAGCACTTGCCCAGTGTGCACCAGGGAGACTCTAGGTTCAACCTCAACATTACAAAAGTAAAAATTAAAAATAAGGTAAATCTAATCCTTGTGTGAGGGCCAGGGAGAAGGCTCAGTGGAATAAGCACTTCCCTGGCAAGCGCAAGGGCCTGAGTTCAATCCCTGGTTCTACAAAAAAAAAAAATTAAAAAAATCCCTTTGTGATATTTAGCATTCACAAAGTCATGGTACATTTTTACGCAGAAAGCTAAATTTTTATAGAGATTAAGACTCTCATGATAGAAATGTTTTAAACTGTATCCCCATTTTGAATCTAGAATATTAGGATGTTATTTTGTCTGGCAATTCCAGTCTGCACATAGAAGAATGTTCTTTTGGAGAACAGCACTTTTCATATCAAACTCCAGGCTGCCAAGGCTGGGCTCTGAGGGTTTGGAAGAGGCTCTGGATACCGAGTCACCTTCTGACAGCTTAGGGGGCAGCTGATTCCCAGACCAGGGCTTCTGAGGCATTAACGTGCATCCAAATTATCTGCACACCTTGTTTAATCGCAGTTTGTAGTTATATAGATCTGGAGTCTAAGAATCTACATTTCTGAGAAACTTCAGGTGAAGCTACTGCTGCTGGTGTCTCCCAGATGACCTGAGATAAGGGGATCTTTGAGCCAGAAGGCTTCTGAGCACGTAAGCTCTGTCTCTTTGCAGTTAATGCACATGATTATCACACATGAAATGAAGGGTCTATGGAGAGTTGTTGCTAGTGTGTGTGAACTTCTAGTTTGTCATCAGAACTTTTCAGTCAGATCATCATCCGATCGCTCTATTAGGCTACTATCAGGAACACTCGCTCATCGCAACAGCTCCATCTAAATGCCCACTAATTGGCCATGTTCACAGAGAGGTTCAATGGGAATGAGACTAGGTTCTACCATTCCATTATATGTGAATGAATTGTTTCTCTACAAAGTATGTCTTCAAGGAAATGTACCTTCTGCAATCCAGCCTTGGTACAAACAAGCTCCTATCAGATCCCTGGAATGAGACACCAGGGGCAATCAACTCATTCTCCACCCTCCCCTACCATTCTCAGGAGAACAGAAAGATACTTACTGAGGAAGAGAAGGTCCTCCTCCCGTATTTCCCAGAGAACATCAGTCTCTGGTGTAAAGAAGAGAGGCAAGCTCATTAAACTCACAGGTCTCCAATTAACCCCCTACGCCCTCGTGATCAAGGCTGACTTTTAAGCAGCTGTCTTGTGTGCATGTGGGCCTGTTTCATGCAAGGTATATATTCCCAAAGTTGGCTGTACCTCAAAAATTGTTTTGCCTTTTTTTTTAAGTGAAAGAATGTTTTAAATATACTATAGAGGCTGAGGGTATAAATCACTGGTAGAGAACTTATCTAGCATTTTCAAAGCACTGGTTTGATCACCAGCACCACAAAAAACAAAACAAGAAAGGTTAGCTTTTTAAAAGTAAACAGCATAAATTATTTTGTACAATAACCACTAACTGCTTTGATAAATAGTTGGATTTTTAAATGCTGAATTTATATAAAATAGGGTACAAGGTAAAGTAAATTTGAACAAACAAACTAAACCAACTTCTGTAGTTCCAGATTAAGAATAATCTTACATATATTAGAAAAAGGATTATCTTACTTAGCTTTTCAGGAGTAAGATGCTTTTGGCAAGCTTTGAATTACAGTTTTATTCCTTGGTATAGTAAAAAATATCTTGCCTCATTTTGTGAATATCAATTCCTACTTATTTCAATGAGACTTCTATCTGAGACTGTTTCATGCAGTACAGTACACATTCTTTGTTGGAATTATTAACCAAATGTTCCCCTTTATTTATTCAAAGGATACTGTCCAAAATTAATTTAGTGAGAGCATGGTATGCTGACAAATCACGCATTTCAGAAATTTGGTTACAGGAAAAATCCACCTTCTGGTGAGAAAAAGAGAGTAATATGTTACATATTATTTTTCATTCATACTCAATAATTTTCATTCATACAATAATTAAATAAACACGAAGGCATTTCTGGTTTATTTCTGCTTAGAACTCATTACCAAAGACCACTAAGGCCAACATGTGCATGTATCTCTGACCATTTGCTAACCAGCAATGCTGATCTGTCTGCTTGAAAGGACATGAAGGAAGTGAGCCCTTCCTATGGGAGACCCCTGTGGCTAAATTCCTCCCCTTCTTGCCGTCTCTCTCTACTTTTCAGTATTTATTTTCAACTCTCTTGGTCTTCCTTCACCATTTACTTGGATCCACCCCCACCACCATGTTTTTCATGTTCTGTAACACCCAGGGAAACCTGTCCAGTCCATTTATATGCAGAACTTATTGTCTTTGTCTTCCCTTTTCTGTTCCTAATTCAACAATTTCTCCCATGTCATCTAACTACCAGAACAGTCAATCTTGCTTGTCCCACAGGCTACACCTGGGCAACTTTACATTCTTTCTCAAAATTGACTTTTAAGAAAGGCATTTTCTATAATAGCTATTGCTCCCAGTCAAAAATGTTAGAGTAGGATCTGGGCCTTTAGCTCAGTGGCAGGACATTTGAGATCTTGGCTCAATTCTAGCCCCAACACCGAGATCCAGGGCCAGAGAGAGAGAGAGGGCTCAGACATACAGAGACAGAGAGACTGAAAGAGACTACAAAACATTAAATAACTTTGCTTCTAAGTACCTATGATGCTAGGTTTTTCGAAATATTTTAAAGGTGCTGTGCTATTACCCTAAGTCCCATTGGAACCCAGATCTTACAGGAAGAACCCATCATATCAAACGCACACTTTTCACCTATTCAGAGCAAAAGCACTGTAAGAAATCTAAGAGTACAAGTATAAGCCCCTGCTCTTTATAAACAATGCATGCTCTCTCTGGGTAGTGGCAAAAGGATTATACATATTTAATGGGGAAAAAAAAAAAGTAGATCTTTTCAAGAGAGCAGAACATAGGTCTCCCCACCCTGACTTATTGGAAAGATATAGGCTTAGGCTGTCAGACACAGAGTTCAATCTCTGGTCTCCTACTTCCAGCAAACATTAAGTAAAAAACTTTACTTGTCTGGACCTTCAATGTCCTCATCTAGAAAATGGGCCAGTACCAGCTTACTTGCAGATTAACTGGGAGGATTAAACAAGAAAATGTGTAGAAAACACCAGAAAGCCTCAATCATTCCTTCTCAGGCCCCTCTGGAGTTTGTATAAAGTTAAAACACCTCATACCAAGGCAGTCTGCCTTTAGCAAACACACCTCTAAAGCTACCAATGTATTTGCTCTTGATTCTCCAAGAAGTTGGAACCTTGAAGATGTAGCATATGATTTGCTTTCTGTTGGCTGTGGGGTTTTGGGGGGAGGGGGGAGGCAGAGGTGATTGGAAGAAACTGAAAGGCAGGTTTCCCCAGGGGAGGAGTCACTCCGTTACCATGGCTGATTTCCCTGGGGCTCAGAGCCAGGCAAATAGGACAGCAGAGGGAAACTGAAACGGCTCTGCAAATACAATTCTTGACAACTCCGAGACTTCGCAGTTCCACTTGGAGTACAAAAAGGCCCCAACTGTGGCTTATTTGGACAAAGCCATGTCACGGTCACCCTGGGAATAACTCTAATTTCAAAAGAAAAAACACAGCACTAATAAAAGTGGAACAATGTGAAACAATAGGGGAAAAGGTGTTATTACCCTCAGAAGGGAAGTATCAAATTCTTCCTTTCAAATAGATGTTCATATTTGTGCAGAACTCAGAGGAATACTTTGGATCAAAGTTAACTGGGCTTGTAAATAAAATAGATAATAAAGGGTAATAATTGACAGCCATTCCTTACGATACATTTTATTAAAGTGGATGTAGAGGTGCATATTTGAAAGCCCAGGACTCTGGAGGTTGAGGCAGGAGGGCCACTGGGAATTTGAGGCCAGCCTGGGCTACACAGTAAGTTCAAGGCTAGCTTGAACTACACAGGACACCTTGTCCCAGAAAAAGCAAAAAGGAACACATTTCATTAAATATTTGAAACCAACAGAACAATACTAATCACTACCTCTATAACAATGTCCTCGAATTTGTCAGTATACATATTAGGGCTATCTAACAAGTCCAAGGCCCAGTCCCTACTTTAAACCATATAAACCAGAATTTCTAGCATGGAATCTAAGCCTCAGGAGGTCTTAAAATCCCCCCAGGTCATTTCAATGTGCAGAAAAACTGGAGACCCTGAACTCTGTGATCTCTCTACTTAAGTATGAGCCAATAGCCACAACATCAGCAGGAAGCCTGGAAGAAATCCATCTCTGTCCCCCACACTAGCAAGGCTGGCCGCTAGTTTTCACAAGAACCACAGACCCAGGCGCACCTGGAGACAGGAGACCCAGCATTCTATAGGGCAGCAAACTGCCCCCCTCCCCGTCCCATGACATCGTGCACCGTAAGTTCACTTCTGCTTCCGACCTAGTAAAGCAAATGCAGAGAAGCAAGAACAGAAATCTGAGAGCACTATTTTTTTTTTTGTATTTTTAAAAAGCAAAGGTTGGATACTTAAGAGAGTAAAGTTTGAACCCCTCAGAAATTTTTACAATTTTTTTTCAGATAAAGTTGCTCCAGCAAAATAAATGCAATAATAACTACTATTTAAATAAGAGCAAGAGGAGAAAAGAAGAAAATAAACTCAACATGGGGTTTCTAGCAATGTTTCCTTAAAAGCTTGCTGATGGACAGACTCCCTTTTTCTTTTTTATTTCCATTGAGACACTCATATGATTTACCCTAAAAACTAGTCGCCATCAATTTTCTACTTCAGTGCTATTTTTCTTACTTCATGTGCTTTGCAAACCACTTACCATATGTAATTAGTGTACTAATAAAATGTACCTTGAGATTTTTGGGTGGCTTGAAATTGAAGAATGTAGTCAGTTTATTTTGAGAAGCATCAAGTTCTAGAAGATAAGGCATGCAGCTCACACAAGACAAATCTGGTGGGAAAACAGATACAGAACAGCTAAGCCAATAAAATAACTTGAAAAAGTCATTAAAAATAGCGTATGTCACATCAGAATATTTTTAAGCTCTGTGAATTACAAATCCATCTTCAGTATTTTAGATGAGTGAAATAAATGAAATTGGAAGTGTGCAAAAAAATTTAAGTGTGGGAACCCCCCTGGCTCTTTCCTGGGGCCTGCCTACCTCTTGTGTTCCCCAATTACGTCTCTGCTCACCCTCCCACACGCTGCTAACACCTAAATGCTTCCAAAATTATGAGCCTTCAAGGAAAGGATGAGAAACTAAAGCCTTAGATAATCCTCTTGATAATTAGCCCCTAAATAACTGAATTAGGGCTTTTCAGAAGATTGGAAATGCCACAATTAGGGAACTCTCTTTGTTGTAAATTTCATTTTGTTTTAGTTGGAATTAATTCTAAATCTCATTAATTATTTGACATGATTTAAATCATTGCTATTATTTTAATTTGGCTCTGGATTGGTTCAAAATTGCATCTGAATTTTGCATTTTATCCCCAGCAAATATCCTGAAACATAAAAGGACTATGTGCTAATCGATTCCAAATAGAGTTACGAATAAAACATAAAAGCTGTGACGCATTGTTTTGGTTTTCTCTGTCACTTTACAGCAGAGGCACTTTCTGAAGGGAGAGATGGAGAATAATCAGATCACAAGGGTCACAGCCTTGTCACCACCAATTCACTGCACCGCCTGCAAACAGTAACAATAACAGGATCTTCCCAGTTCTCTGGCCCTGAAGCATGGATGAAGCTACTATAACTGCTCAGAGAATGGCTCCTAGTAGGAGAAAGCAACCTCCACATGCAGACCCAAGCAATGCGCTTCTACTCTTCACCAAGTGGAGCATACACACACAGATCAGAAGAGGCTAGGGTGCCACGAGGAGCCTCCCCTGGAACAGGCAGTGTAAGAAGGCCTCTGGCCCCTTTCATTCCCAAAAGACATTCAAGCCACAAAATCCCCAGCAATCTGTACTTCATTCCTCCAAAGTGAACCACATCTTATATGTAAATGGCTCTAGATGAGACAATAAGTTGGGACATTACCACTTTGGTACAACTGAATGAGCCAATCAAGGAGCTGCCTGTGAGAGAAAACCTAAGAAAAGACTTTATGATTTGTATCTATCTGTCTATTCTGAGCTCAGCTGTATGTATGTCTTTGGGAATGGTCTCAGTTCCATTAACTTCTGCTTTGTCCCACACCCCCTGTTGGAGCCGATCCATTTGTCATACCGGGGACATCTGCCTGAAAGCAGAAGCAGCACTTATACGTAGAGACAGTGATGGTGAATACATTTCACACTTTGTAGAGAGCCAATGTTTTTAAAAATCACCTTGACAAATAACCTCTGGTCTGAGTGGCCAGATAGATGCCTAACTCCAGCATGCTGTCCCTCCTCGGTGCAGTGACCTCCTTGTCCAGCAGATGGCAGGAGCACCTTATGTCTACATTCACATTCTCAAAGTGAGGTCCTGGACCAGCTTCCTCAACCTCAACTAAGAACTTAAGTCAAAGGCCAACTTTCAGGCTCATCCCAGCTGGACCAGATACTCTGAGGGTGGAGTCTGGATAGCTGTCAGAACATCTCCTCCCAAGATGATTCTGCTGAAAGCTGAAATTTGGTCTGCATCATCATCACAAAAGGTGCCACCACAAAAGAACAATATGCTATACCCAACACAAAGTAGGCTCTCAAAGACTTGATAAAAGAGTAAGTTGTGCCACCCAGGATAAATGGAGACTGATCTGGCTGAGGAGGAAAAATTTCACTTGCAACTGTGGACTCCCTGCTCCTGTGGCATGGATGTATAAGACCAGTCACTTTCCTCTATGTTAGGACCTCCCAGCACTCTGCAATCTCTTACCTAGTAAGGCAACCTCAGAAATGTGGGGTGAGTGGAGCATTCCTGCCAGCAACACGAAAAAAAATCTTTCTGATGATACCATCATCATAGTCCTGGACTTGCTTTAAAATTACCTCCAGGTAGAAGGCAGGGAGATGTAGATGAAGCAAGACGGGCCATTGACTGATAGCTGCTGAGCACACACAGCAATATTCTCTCTATGTAATTGTTTGTAAATTTCAAAATCAGTTTTATAAAACTGTAAAAAAAAATCAAAGTCTTTTTTGTACAGGCTAGAATATTTCTTAGCTACTGAAAAGTGAATTTTAACTGCTAAGAGTCACGTGGAAGGGGATCAGTAAATAGAAGATCGTATCAGCAACATCTGATTTAATCAGTAGAGAAAGCAGGTCAGAAATAATGACTTGCTTTCTTCCCTAGAAGCCTAAAGAAAAAAAATTGTATGCTGTTGAAAAACAAGACCAGAATACAACAATGGGAATCAAGCTTTGAAGAAAATGTGACAATTACAGGACTAATTTCATTAAATGTGAACAAGGTGTCATAGCAAATGACTACAGATGGTAGAGCTGGGTTGAAAGAATCAACGAAACATGGAAGAGACAGAACAAAGAAAGAAAAATAAATTTGTGAACTCCTGGTGCTCAAATAAGAATAGAGATAGCCAGACAGGGCTGAAACGTAAATACAAAAGCAAAATTTTGAAAAAAGATTCGCTAAAGAGAAAAGACTCATCTTTATTAAATAACTAATAAAAAAAAAAGAAAAAGGAAGTATTTTAAAGATAATGATCAGTCTCTTAAAAGGAAACTTAAGGCACACGTTCCAACTCCTATTTTTAGTTATCCCTGAGTGCAGATTGGCCCTATCATCACAGTGCAGACTGGGGTCTTCTCCTCCCTCGCACAGTCACCCAAGCTTTTTGAGGGACAGGAGCACAGAAAGCAAAGGAGCAGTAGGTAAATGGCTCTACAGAGCACTTACGGCAAGTTTGGTCTTATTAAATTACATTATATGCTGCTATGTGCTGCAGCATTTAACTTTTGAAACCAGTACACAATCTCCTAGAAGAACAGTTACATACCTTCGATTTTATTCACTGAAAGATCCAACTTCTGCAGGTGAACATATCCACACAAAATGCTAATGTTCGTTAAATCACAGCCCTGAGAAAATAAAAGACTTGGATATTGCTTTAGCAGGTTAGTAGCCAGTCTTGCAGTATCTGGAAATAATAGTTAACGGAAAGAAACCTAGAATTTCTCTCAAAAGTACAGAAGAAGTGAAAGAACAAAATGTAAAGCCTATTACTAATAGGATCTCAAAACAGACTACAGACCCCATCAAAAAAATACATTCCTCTGAAGGAAATAATAGGAAAATTAGTGTTGTTAGCAAGAATGAATAGAACATGAAAAGGCAAATTAAAGCAGTGTTCATGAAGACCTTTAGAGCACTGTTTTATATCTATAAAAAACACACAAAATAGCAATACAGACAAAGCTTTTACCTAGTAGAAGAAAAAGCAAATGTCTAGAATTTAAATGAAGTTGTAAGGAGAGTTCACACCCAATCAGGAGATCATTAATCCTACTACTTACACTTACACAAGAGCTCATTTTCAAAGCTCTTTCACAATAATCTCAGCTGACGCAACACACCTATGAGATGTACAGGGAAGATTATTCTCAGTTTAGAAATGAGGAATTTGAGGTATAGAAAGGTACATAAGTTGCCCCAAGTCACAGAGCAATTAGAATCAATATCCAAGATTTCTCAATCCTTCTTAAAAATTCACTCCTGGAAATTTTGCTACAAGGGAATTTAAAATGGGGAATAAAAAGAAATTTGATCCTGGAGAACAAAGATTTACATGACTATATATGTCATGTTGTCAGAATCAGAAAAAAGCCATCAAATAAAAATTATTATATGACTGGAGAAAGAGCTCAGTGGTCTAAGTCCCTGCCTGACAAGCACAAGGACTTGGGTTCAATCCCCAGTAGGGTATGCTGTGCCAGGCACTGAAACTGGGTGTGGTGGCGTATGCCTATAATGCCAGTGCTGGGGAGGCTAAGACAGGCAGATCACGATGAGTCTGAGCTGCATATCAAGACCCTGTACAAAGCAAATAAATGAATAAATAAATAGAAAAATATCATGATAAGCAAGCTCTCGTATACGATAAAGATTGTCTAATGTGGACTGCTAAAAGAGTAATAAAACTAAATATGTACTATGTACTAGACATCACTGACCTTGGCATGATTCAAAATTAAATGATAAGATATAGTGTGCCCTTAAAAAGTATGACTTAGAAACAAAAAAGATAGGTACACAAGTAATAAAAGGAGGTAAAAATAATATATAAGTAAGAAAAAAGGGAGGGAAGTCACTGAACCAGAAAGTGTACTCAGTAAGACAGATTAATAAGGCCAAGTAATTCAACATGTAATATCTCAAATGTAAGGAGGTCAGTAGCAAAATAAATTAAGCTTCAGTCCCTCCAGCTGGAATAAAATTCAAAGGATTGCTTTATTGTAGATCAACTTAAGGCATGGCGCTACATACGTAAGTAGAATATTGATTGAAAGGGACTAGTGTAGGCTGAATAGGCTGCTGGGATTATATCATTCCAATAGCGAACACAGTGCATACGACTAGCTGAGTCATCCATAAACAGTTATAAAGTGATAAGAGCAAAAGATTATACACTTAATGTGCTAATCTCAAAGGATATATCATGATAGGTAAAAACAGCTTAATATTATTGGAATAGTTCACTGATTCAAACCCAAGACAGTCTTCTAATAAATTAGAAAATCATGAAGCCAAACATGGTGCCAGTTTATGCATTTTTGTTCCTTTTCCTTTGTTTGCGACAGGGTGTTGCTATGTATTCTAGGCTGATTCTGAAATCACTATGTAGCCCAAGCTGACCTAAAACTCGCGGCATTCCTCCTGCTGCTCCTCCCAAGTGCCGCAGTTACAGGCACGTGCTATCACACGGACCAGTGTGCTATTCTTTTTTAACATATATATCTATGTTTGCGAATCTCCAAGTATTTAACACTTTACAATTTAAGGAAAAAAAAGAGTTAAATTGCTTTGCTAGGACTGTAGAGACTCAAGGAAAGAAGCTGAAGAACCTGCCTTTTTAGGCTAAGCTCAGAGCCAAGATTTTGTGCCGCTCTATAGCTAGGAATGAAATCTTGAAAAGTGAATAGCAATAGATTTTTTTCTCCAATGACAGGTATCTTTTAAAAGAAAGTACAGCTCAAAACTATTTATTTCTTGACATACTTAAGGGGAAAGTCAATACCAAAATGGTTCCCTTGAATCAGATACAAATTTCAGTGCTTCTTTCACTGATCAGAGACAAAAATTCTTAAAGCTTTTGATGGTTATAAAGAATCAAATTCAACCTCCTGGGTAAAAGGCATTGATTACTATAATACAGACTACTTAAGATGAAAGAACTAAGATTGTGAAAAAAAACAGAGACAAAGGAAGTTGGGGGTCTGATTACTGGATTGCTGCTAACACAAAAGCTGTGAGTACGAAAGAAAATGGACATGGTCTGGGCAGTATCGAGATGCAGTCAGCCTAAGATGATCCTGCTATACTCACTGATAACGTTAGGTTGAGATAGACTTGTTCAGTCCCAGAGCCTGAGCGCCCCAATTCATGCAGTGCCTTGGCCACAGTCTCTTCTGTCAGGACCCCATCAAATTCATCCTGCAAAAGGAAAAAGAATAGAGAGGCAGACAAAGACAGGATTATATTAGGGAAGAAACTACATACCCTATCATATCCAGCACTTATCCACAATTTACCATGTCCAAAGAAAATTCTATATTAAGGACACATATGTAGCATATATAATCAAATAAATAGAGGTATAACTTTTTATTGTCAGAGACTTTTCAGGTTGCCACTTGTATTATTCAAAGTTGAGTGGCCACAGGAGCTGTAGAGGTATCAGTATCAATGGTGATGTTTACTGTTGACCAATTCTCTACTCCAAGCACTGTGTAAGAATTCTTAAGGAGTGACTCATTTACCCTTATGTAACCTTCAGGTAAGTATTCTTATCTCTATCTTAAAGATGAAGAAACTAAGTTTTAGAGATTACTGTGCCTGAAACTACAAAGGCAGTATGTGACAGAGAGAGAACAAAAATCCAAATATACCTCACCCCTGGGCAATTCCATCCTTAAGGCTTTCCCACACCTCAAAGGACGGTTACATCAATTGAAGGCAATCAGTTCTCTAAATCTGGTATTATTGATTAAAAACACAAGTTTTCAGTTAACTTCTTTTTGGCAAATTTTTCTGGATACATATAATTTGCAAGGCTTATTAAAAAGATACTAATCATTTCCATAAGGAGGTTAGCCCTTGGTCCACGTTGACATCCTATAAACCATTAACCAACATGCCGTTTCCTAATAATGACAAGAAATAGCATGTGAATAAATATCATGTTTGTGCTACTTCCAACCCTGTAATGACCAACACAACACACTGCCACTGACAACACAGCAACAGAAAATACAGTAAACACTTCAGTAACACCTATATACCTAACCACGATGAGCATATGAACTACAATGTCAAAATACTGTATTTTTTTTCTGGGTCTTCTACTTTGATTCAGGAACCAACAACACTGCCCTGGCTGTTGGTACTGAAGGCCTAAGTATTATAGGCTTGTGCTACTTAAAGAGCTCACCCCCAGATTTCCACAGATCACAAGAATACAGTCTACATGGAAGTAGCATATGTGCTTTGGAATTGGACAGACATGGTTTGAACCTCATCTCCACCATTTTGGATATGACTTTGGGGAGCTAAGTTTTTCTCTAAACCTTCGCATATCTTCAACTATAAATAGGACATACTATTTTCTTTGAAGGAGTTCTGGACATACCACCCCGAAGTATGTGCTTTGGTGTACTGATTATTTTCAGCTAAAGACACTTGAAAAACCTCAAATGGAAGAAAAGGATTTCTCTGAACTCCTTTTGTCTAACTAAAGACAGATCTTCCAAAAGGAACTCGGTTGTCATAAATCTCTTCCCTGGGAGTTTCATCAACCAGAGAAGATTGATCCTTACCACAGGAGAGGAGAAGAGAGCTTGGCATCACTCTCAGACAAACTCTGTTAGAAACTATTATATCTCCCTTCTATTCTTCTAAGACTCCATGTATCTTTCCTAAAAACATTTACTCTGCCTTGAATAGCCTCTTAACGTGCTATATAAGCTCTCAAATTTCACTGCTTTTTGGACAGTATTCACTTTTTTTTCCTATGATGCTCCTATGAATGTAATAGTAAGAATTAATAACTTTGGTACCTAATGTTATGTTAATCTGCCTATTGTTGGACCCAACTATCATACCTGGAAGGATAAAAGGAAAGTCTTTCCTTCTCTATATGTACTTTTAATATTTTGGGAAGAGGGGGCCGGGAAGATGGCTCAGTGGAATAAGCATTTCCCTGGCAAGTGCAAGGGCCTGAGTTCAATCCCTGGTTCCACAAAAAA